GGATGGTCTTGATCTCTTGACCTCGTGATCCACCCGCCTTGGCCTCCCAAAGTGCTGGGATTACAGGCTTGAGCCACCACGCCCGGCCAAAAAACACATTTTTAAAAATAAAGATCATTATTTTTACAGAGTGTAAGTACAGAAAACATGGTGAGAAATGCGGCTCTAGAAGATGGTCATTCGATTTTGCAAACTGAGTAGCGTCTATAATTATGGGATTCTATTATTGAATAGAATTATTACTTCATCTGACATAAAAATTCAGAAAACAAATTGCAGTGAAAAAGCACAGCTCTAGTCAGGTAGAAGGAGGTTTTAATTCAGTCATTGCCATAGTTGGTTTTGTTACCTTGGGCAAATTTTTTAACTTCTTCACAACGCAATCTCCTTATGTGACACAGGGTTAATACACGTCTCTCAGAACTGCTTAAACAACATGATCTGTATAAAACACCAGGTACTGGCAGTGCTAGCTTTTTTTTTTTTTTTTTTTTTTTTTGAGCTGGAGTTTCACCCTCGTTGCCCAGGCTGGAGTGCAATTGTACGATCTCAGCTCACCACAACTTCTGCCTCCCAGGTTCAAGAGATTCTCCTGCCTCAGCCTCCCGAGTAACTGGGATTATAGGCATGTGCCACCACACCCAGCTAATTTTGTATTTTTAGTAGAGACAGAGTTTCCCCATATTGGTCAGGCTGGTCTTCAACTCCCAACCTGAGGTGATTCTCCCGCCCTGGCCTCCCAAAGTGCTGGGATTACAGGCTTGAGCCTCTGCGCCTGGCCTAATTTTTTGTATTTAAGTAGAGACAGGGTTTCACTATGTTGCCCAGGCTGGTCTTGAACTCCTGAGCTCTGGCAATCCACCCGCCTTGGCCTCCCAGAGTGCTAGGATTACAGGCATGAGCCACCATGCCTGGCGACATATTAACTGTGATCTTAGGATAAAAGGACCCCAGTGATTCATTTGCATGTTCTTTACAGGCACAGCTTCGAACGCTCTGAGACAGCCGTACATTTGGTTAACTATCATCCTGACTGTTGCTGTGTGCTTACTGCCTGTCGTTGCCATCCGATTCCTGTCAATGACCATTTGGCCATCAGAAAGTGATAAGGTATATAGAATAAAGTCCTCTCCCAATTCTGTGTCCCTCACAGAAACCAAAGCATTTCCCAACAGCACCTTGCCTGCAAAATTCTAAGCTCATGGGAAGTTTGGTTAGAATGATTTTTCATGATTGCTTCTCTTTGTTTAACTCTATCTCACAAGTAAGTCTTTTGGGATTGGGAGTTTAGTGTGCTTGCTTTTTAATACAAAAATTACCAAACATACACAAAAAAGTGAGAATAGAATAATCAGCCCCATATATCTATTCCCTCAGTTTAACAATTACAGTGTTAACATTTAGTCGTACAAATCACATTGGGTTTTTTTTTTTTTCTTTATTTAAAGAAAAGTGTCACCTTCTGTAGCAGGATCCTCTGAGCTACAAGGAACAGAAAGCTGTGACTCAAAATTTCTCTAAGTAGTGCATCATCATTAGCAGGCTTCGAACTCAGTTCAATCAGCAGTTTAATGTTGTCAAAAAAGGACTGGGCAGGTTCTTTCTCTCTTCCCCCTTGGAACATTTACTATTAGTTTCATCTGGATGCTGGAAGATGGCCATAGCAGGTCTGGGCATCACTGTGACATTTCAGTGTCGAGGGGAGATTAGAGACTATTCTGTAGTTCCTTAAGTGCCATGGAACTTCTCACCCAAGGGCCCCAGCACAGTGCCCTCAGGTCTCATGTGCCAAAATTAGGTCACTTGCCCATTCTTGACTAGTGCTTAGCAAGGGAAATCAACCTGCCCACTCCCATGAGAAATGTGGCTGTGAGCGGGGGTTGGTGGGGGCGATCTGAATGCAATCAATTTCCCTTAGAAAGGAGAGAGGAGGGGCTCGTGGGGCAACCCTCGCTCTCTTTTGCAGTGCCAACAGTATGCAGTAACAATTCAGGAAAGAGACCCTACTGAGTTTTCTCTTTCACTGTACCCATCTGGTCTGAAGTAGAAAAGGGCACTAGCTTCGGGGGAGTGGGAATCTTGGCTTTGCATTTTCTAGCTGTGTGACCTTGGAAAAGTTAGATATATCTTCCCTCAGCTTTGATATATATTTCTAGGTAGGTAGGTAAGTAGGTAGGTAGGCAGATAGATAGATAGATGTATAGATATAGAGCTATATAATCATATCTATATGTCAACATATATCTATAGATAATTAGATATAGCCAAGCACGGTGGCACACGCCTGTCATCCCAGCACTTTGGGAGGCCGAGGCAGGCAGATCACTTGAGGTCAGGAGTTCGGGTGGTCAGGACCAGCCTGACCCACATGGTGAAATTCTGTCTCTACTAAAAATTCAAAAATCAGACTGGTGTGGCAGTGCATGCCTGTAACCCCAGCTATTCAGGAGGCTGAGGCAGGAGGATCTCGTGAACCCAGGAGACAGAGGTTGTGTTGAGCCGAGATGGCACCACTGAACTCCAGCCTGGGTGACAGAGTGAGACTGCATCATCTCAAAAGATACACACAACTATAAAGTGAGGACATAGCTGCCTGCATCAAAATGGGGCAGGTGTTGGGGTTTCATCAGTGTTCATTTCTGCCCACCGTCTGGCCACGCCTCCTTCCTGGCATGAACTTTGTCTTCATCCCTTCCCATCTCTCCCCCTTGCAGATCCAGAAGCATCGCAAGCGGTTGAAGGCGGAGGAGCAGTGGCAGCGGAGGCAGCAGGTGTTCCGCCGGGGCGTGTCGTCAAGGCGCTCGGCCTATGCCTTCTCGCACCAGCGGGGCTACGCGGACCTCATCTCCTCTGGGCGCAGCATCCGCAAGAAGCGCTCGCCCCTTGATGCCATCGTGGCCGATGGCACCGCAGAGTACAGGCGCACCGGGGACAGCTGATCCCTGTCCCCCCCAGGCCGGGATGCGGCCGCACAGAGCACGTCTATTTTTTTATGAAAGACTCTCAGGACTTTTTGTGTGTGTGGATTGCATTCGTCACAAAGATATTGAAGACAATAAATAACCTTTATAACAAACTAACTCCTTGGGTTGGGCTATTAAACATTAGCAGAGCCAAGCAATAGGACTTTAAAAGTCCTATTATTTGGCAGGGCGTGCCTCACACCTGTAATCCCAGCACTCTGGGAGGCCAAGGAGCACAGATCACCTGAGGTCAGAAGTTCGAGACCAGCCCAGCCAACATGGTGACATCCTTTCTCTACCAAAACTTAAAAAATTAGCCGGGCTTGGTGGCGGGCACCCATAATCCCACCTACTTGAAAGGCTGAGGCTGGAGACTCGTTTGAACCTGGGAGGTGGAGGTGGAGGTTGCAGTGAGCCAAGATTGCACCACTGCACTCTAGCCTGGGCAAGAGTAAGACTCTGTCTTAAAAAAATTTTTTAAATAGGCTGGGCACAGTAGCTTCTGCCTGTCATCCTAGCACTTTGGGAGGTCAAGGCAGGCGGACCACTTGAAGTCACAAGTTCCAGACCAGCCTGGCCAACATGATGAAACCCTGTCTCTACTAAAAATACAAAAATGAGCCGGAGATCGCTTGAGCCCAGGAGGCGGAGGTTGCAGTGAGCCAAGATTGTGCCACTGCCCTCCAGCCTGGGCAACAGCGCAAGACTCCTTCTCAAAAAAAAAAAAAATCGTTTAAATAATAATAAAAGTCCTATTATTCAAATGGTTATGTACATTATGGTTCAAAGGGAACATTTTAATCAGTCTCAATCTAGGGCAACAGAATTACAAAGCATGTCATATTTCAGTTCAAGTGGTATTGTGTTATAAACTTACATTTTCCTTTCTGTGATCTTCAGCATATTTTCCCAGAGACTCCTTCCTGCCCCACCCATAGGCCACCTCACTAACAGATTTTTCCATTTATAGTAGTAATGACAAAAGACTTATCAGTGTTCACCATCTGGAAGCTAAGTGGTTCAATCACTTTTTCAAAGTTGATAGTAGACTGCCTGGTTTCATGTTCTCCTCATAATAGTGTAATAATTCTATTTAATCAAGGAAGTAACTTCAGATTCCGTAAATATAAAGTTTCAGTTTGTTTTTGGTTCACAACTAGGTGAAGCAGCACATTACATACTTTCACTATCAAATATTATTTCAGCAGCTTCCCACAGTACCAAATGATTTGATTCCCTACTCTCGTTTTTTAAAGCATCTAAATATTTATGGGCTTAAAAAGGGGATTTTAAAAACTGAGGATGTCAGTGATAAATTGCAGACTATTTTGCAAAGCTTTCTTTTGAAAAGCAAAGTTTTGTGCCTACCTATATGTAAAGTGTTTTATAAGGGACTTGAACAGAGAGACCGCACTCTTTTTCACTTGTGTCTTGAGAGAAAAGGCTATTGGTAGCTACGTTCCTAAGACTGGGGAATGGTGTGTCCTTTTACATTTGAAGATAACTTCAGGCAACTGTGGAAACTCCTCAAAGTGGTAAAATCAATTTTTTTCCAGACGTTTTTCTCATTCTGTGTCTTTCACACACTAATTTCCATATTTTAGTAAATCTGTTTTTTATCATTGGGCTGTGAATATTCACAATATCAGTCCTGTTGAATTCCTATGAGGTAATCACAATGTGTATATAGTTCATTTTCTAGGTATGATAAAAGAATGTATGGCTCTTTATTCTGTGGAAGTAAAATTCTGAACGTTTACAACTTTTCCTTGTAAATGAAAAATTGTAAGTTTTTTTTACAGAAAAGTTAGCTTGTGTCATTTTGTTAGTTTCAGATTTCTCTCCTGTTTTTGCAAATTGTGGGAAAGATTGACAATGCAAATGTGTCAAAGACTTATACTGTTGGGTGCAATATTAACAATTTTAAAATGCAAATTTCTTTGGATAAATTATTTCTATATTCTGTAAATCTGAGTTTGTATATTTTTGTTTAAAAATGATTTAGTAAAATCTTTGAAAAGTATAATCTTCTAAAGTATTTAAATTGGCCATTGTTGTTATTGTTTTTTTTGTTTTTGTTTTTGAGATGGAGTTTCACTCTTATTGCTTAGACTGGTGTGCAAAGGCGTGATCTCAGCTCACCACAACCTCTGCCTCCCAGGTTCAAGTGATTCTCCTGCCTCAGCCTCCTGAGTAACTGGGATTACAGGCATGCACCACTGGGCTTGGCTAAATTTTTTTTGCATTTTTAGTAGAGATAGTTTTCTCCATATTGGTCAGGCTGGTCTCAAACGCCAGACCTCACATGATCCGCCCGCCTTGACCTCCCAACATGCTGGTATTACAGGCGTGAGCCACTGTGCCCAGCCTGTCGTTGTTTTTTAAAATAGGATATATGACAGAAGAATCTAGTCCCACACTGTTTCTAGAGGAATGTAGGGGTCCCTTAATGGTGAGAAAGGGACAGGGAAACTAAGTGTTAGGGAAGAAGTGATGGAGAAAGGGTGATCAGGACCAGGCACTGTGGCTCACGCCTGTAATCCCAGTACTCTGGGAGGCTGAGGAAGGAGAATCACTTAAGGCTGGGAGTTTGAGACAAGCATGGGCAACATAGCAAGACTTTGTCTTTAAAAAAAATAATCAGTTGGGTGTAGTGGCATGTGCCTGTAGTCCCTGCTGTTTGGGAGGCTGATGGGGGAGGATCACCTGAGCCCAGGAGTTTGAGGCTGCAGTGAGCTATGATCATGCCACTGTACTGAAGCCTGAGTGACAGAGCAAGACTCTGTCTCTAAAAGAATTAAAAAGGTCAGACTTTAGAGACAGAGGGGTAAGGATTTAGAGTTAGGAAGATCAGCTGGGCATGGTGGCTCATGCCTGTAATGCACTTTAGGAGGCTGACGTGGACGGGTCACTTGAGGCCAGGAGTTCGAGATCATCCTGGCCAATATGGTGAAATCCCATCATCTCTACTAAAAATACAAAAAAGGATGATCAAGTCTGGGCCCAGGAGAGTGCATCTTAGTATACTTAGACAAGGGACAGTTTTTCCAACTGACCTCAACTCTTAGAACAAAAGGAAAGGTAACCCACTACCAAAAGTAAGGGCTAGGGCCAGGTGCAGTGGCTCACACTTATAATCCCAGCACTTTGGGAGGTCAAGGTGGGCCAGTCACCCAAGGTTAGACCCGCATGGCCAACGTGGCAAAACCCTCTCTATAAAAATAAATCAGCCAGGTGTGGTGGTGCATGCCTATAATCCCAGCTATTGGAGAGGCTGAGGCAGGAAAATCACTTAAATCCAGGAGGTGGAGGTTGCAGTGAGCTGAGATTGTGACACTGTACTCCAGCCTGGGCGACTGAGCAAGACTCTGTCTCAAAAAACAAAACAGAAAAAGAGCTGGGAAGTGAGCAGATAGTCCTTGAAATACATGATGAATCACTGGCAAAAAAAAAATGAGCAGAGAGGAGTGAGTAAGGAAGGAGGTGGGAGACCTGGGGTTTGTGGCTGCAGGGGTCTGACCAGGCTGTGGGACCGACAGCTCTTAGACTCGAGGGAAGCTGTGACCCCACCAAGAAGATTCTCTCTGCATCAGAGACGGGAGACACTTTGGGAGGCATAATTAGCAGCAGGTGATAGAAAAATAACAGTCTTGGGGTGTTTGGGATGGGAGGAGATGAGCAAATTATTAGCCTGTGCAATAGAAATGGCAGAAAAATCAAGCAGACCTGGGAGGTCATCCCTAAAAAAAAATAAAGGCCACTTTTTCCTGCAACGTACTACTGTACTTAAGTTGTTTGAGGGATAAATGTTTTTAATCAAAGAGCACCACCTAAAGGCTCTTAGTCTTGTTCCACACCAGAAACTGCTCAGTAACACCATCTGAGGGGAATAAAATGATTCTTGAGAGACTCCAATGTGATAGCAAAATGTACCCTAATGGAATCGAAATTTAACAATTGCTACCTTCATGTGATGTAAATGAAACAGGAAAATTGTCAGTCAGCTTCTAAAGTCCTGCTAGAAAGTTTTAGTGGCACTACAACTTCTGGGGCATTTATAAAAATAAAAAGGCCCATCAAAACACTGAAAACAACACAGCATAGATCTCAGGACAAAGTGGAGGTCGGGGACCTTAAAAATAACCATTGTAATGCATTCATTTTCTTTCTGCTAAAAATTATAGTAAAGGCCAGGTGTGGTGGCTCATGCCTGTAATCCCAATACTTTGGGAGGCTGAGGTGGGCAGATCACCTGAGGTCGGGAGTTCAAGACCAGCCTGACCAACATAGAGAAACCCCGTCTCTACTGAAAATACAAAATTAGCTGGGCATGGTGGTGTATGTAATCCCAGTTACCTGTAATCCCAGCTACTCGAGAGGCTGAGGCAGGAGAATCACTTGTACCCGGGAGGCAGAGATTGCAGTGAGCCGAGATTGTGCCATTGCTCTCCAGCCTGGGGGACAAGAGTGAAACTCCATCTCAAAACAAAAAAAAAAAGAAAAGCAAACAGGTGTTCAAACAAATATAAACTAATGAATGATCACAGCAGCACTATCCTCCGTAGCCAAAAGGCAGAAACAATCCAAATGTCCATCAGCAGATAAATGGATAAATAAAATGTGATGTATACACATGCAGGAATATTATTTAGTCGTAAAAAGGAATGAAGTACTGAGAGACGCTATAACATGAGTGAAAGTTGAAAATGTGCTAAGGGAAAGCAGCCAGACTCAAAAAGTCACATCTTGTAGGATTCCATTTACCTACCCAGAATAGATAAATCCACAGAGACAGAAAGCAGATTAGTGGTTGTCAGGAAGGGGAGATTGAGGAGTGAGTGTTCAGTGAGTGTTTAATGTTAGGGTTCTCCTGAGAAACAAAATCTATAGGATATATGCATACAAACATCTGTCATTTGTATACATCTATGGGGAGGATTTGTTGATTCTGACAAAGTAGTCTCCGTGATTGTGAGGGCTTGCAAAGGTTAAGGACAGGCAGGCTAGCAGGCTGAAGTTCTAGCAGGAATTGATGTTGCAGTCTTGAACC